TTAGAACGGCTGTGGGGGTTTGTACGGATGGCGCGCCATCTATGTTTAGCTCAAAATCGGGCTTTCAGAAAACAGAAAAGATTTAGCTCCCTAACCACTTCCCTAACCAATCGACATCAAGAGTCCATTGCTAGTATAAGTCGTAAATTATATAAAATCTGGAACCTTCAAAGAACTGAGCAAAAACATTAATGTAGATCACGAGGTTCTGCTCTTCTACACTACAGTACGCTGCAAAAATGTTGTTAATTGTGTTTTTGAATTGAAATCTGAAATCAAATTGTTATTGGAAGTGCAAAGTAAACAAGACTTTTTGGTATACTTAAAACGACATAGAGTGGTTGGAGAGAGTATCATACCTAGCAGATGTGTTGTAACATCAAGATAAGCTTAACCTGAAGCTTCAGGGAAAATGAACGAATATTATAACTTTCCATGATAATCTCGGGGCAATTTTATCAAAACTGCAAAATCGGTAAAGAAAATAAATCTTGGAAATATTGTAAATTTGAGAAACTCTGCATTGTGGTAGATGAATCTGATTGTGAGATAATTAAAATTTTGAAAGAAGCGATTTCTGGGCATCTTGAATCTCTTGAAAACGAACTGCATCGCTATTTCTCTGAGCTGAAAAAAGAAGAATCTGCATTTATGCATTATCCATTCTCTTCTTCCTTTGATGTTGCCAGCATCCCCGATGAATTACAAGATGAATTCTTTGATTTGCAGAATGATTCAGAGTAAGATGAAAAACTGCAGACACAATTTCGGTGTAGTATTCACCATTCATACCCAAACGTAAAATTGATTGACTTTTCGAGAATATATTTTCAACACTATTCTTCGATTAAAAACAAAATTAATATAATTATAATGACATAGGTTGGCGTTAACATAAAAATTAATAAAAAGTTAACCACGAAGGTTTATATGAATAGTATGCAATTTTACTCATGCTATTAAAACAGTTATCAAGAGTAGTTCATATTGAAAGTCTACTAGAAAATTTTATTTTAGTGCTTATTAATTTCCATACTAATTTCGGCTTTTTAATTCTATGGGGGTCGCGGGTCACTTACTTTTTAAAAAAGGGGGTCGCCACTCGAAAAAGGTTGGGAACCACTGTACTAGGGTCTCAGAGGCACTGCGTTTCTGTGAAGCCAAGTCCATTGAAAGCCAGTCATTATACCTATTGCTTCCACTTAACGAACACTATGTCTAGTTTAGCGTTCACTTTTTGTAATAAATAGTGCTCGTGTCGACCATATTGCACAGCGGTATTCGATTCTGATATTTGTAACATTAATTTTTTTACACTATAACAGTGTTGGTTATATATTCTTAAAATGCTTTTTATTATCATGTTTAACAGTAGTTTTATTTATTATTTTTAATAAATTATTGTTTAAAGCTTTTCAAAATAATGTAAATATGTGTTATCTAGTAAAAACTATAATTTAACAGTTTTCAAGACGATAGATATCTTTAGCGACCATATTTCCAAGCAGTGTTTCTTCCAGACTTTTTTCTCCGGGGGGGGGGGGGGGGGGGAGGCACTTGAAATTTTCGGGGGGGGGGGGCGGACACTGTTAAAAGTATATATTTTCTATATAAATTATATAAATTTCATTTCGTTCGGGGGGGGGGGGGGGCGGTAGTAAAAAAATTTCGGGTAACCCCCCCCCCCCCCCCCGCGCCCCCGAAGAGATGCCTGGAAGAAACACTGTTTCCAAGTATCAATTTAATCGAACAGCACCACCCACAATAATTTTTTAAATGTTTTTTTTTTATATACAGGGTCTCTTTGACATGAAAGAGTAGTTCAACTCTTTCTTTGAAATCAGCCTTTAAAAATGCATGCTCAGCACCGTGTCCAGACGGCTTTGTTTCTATGCGACTGGATCGTGTACCAATAGGGGCAGGGCGGTCTCAGTGGCGGGCTTCGTTCTCTAGGCTTTTGGGCTGGTTATCGCGCACTCTGCCTCTCTGCCACGCTATTTGGTGGAGTGAGTGGTGTGCTGTGAGCATGTTTGCTTGTGTGCAGCGGTTCCCTCACCATCATTCCTCCATCAACATCGTGCCCATTATTCGAAAAAAAATAATTTCATACTTAAATGATGTCCCAAACTTTTTTTTTTTTAATAACGATGTCCCTAAATTTAAAGGGATTCATAAATTAAATGGAAATGATACCCTTAGACAAACATCATTTTGACAGTCATTTTAATTATTTGAAATGATTTTAAAAATCGCAAATGTTTTTTTATTTACATTTAGAAAATACTTTTAAAATTGCACCAAGAAAGAATATATAACTTAATACTTTAGATACTGCGTAAAATTAGTACTTAAAAAAAATCTAAAATAAACAATTATTTACATTTTTTTTTTAAATTTGTTATGCCTTTTGTATTTTTAAGAGATGATTATTTCCCCTGCTTTACATTTTAATGTTTTTTTTCCAACTGGAGGTAATTAATATTGAGTTCAACAGCAACAAAAAAAAAAAAAAAAAAAAAAAAAAAAAAAAAAAAAAAAAATCACCATTAAAGCTCACTACTAATTAATGATTATCAAACAAAAAAAAATTAAACAGTTTTAAGCCTAATATATCTGACAATTGGCTAATCATTTTCATTCTCTTCAAGAGAAAAAAAAATCATGTTCTATTACATAATCGAATTACGAGTTATCACGTAAAATGTTGAGCTGTATCAAGTAAATAAGTCTTTGTATTATAAACATTCATTTCGACACTGCTATTAATTATTTCACAATCGGTATAGGTAAAAAAAAAATTTAACACACGTATACAGAATAACAAAGCAATAATATTACAATTTGCGCATATCCACAGACTACACAGGATAAAAATATAAGCGTGTCATCAAATTTTAAACAAACACAAACTCACACTTCACAATCAAACCAGTTAAATCAGTTATTTTTAGTCCTCCATGGCGCCTTGAAGTCGCCCTGTTCTGTAACTCAAGGTATCGAGTCCTTGTCCCATACCATTTAAAGACGATATATATATACATATACATATATACATATATATATATATATATATATATATATATATATATATATATATATATATATATATATATATATATATACACATTATATGGTCAAACTTAAGGACAATAAGCTGGACAATCATTAGGACAATTATCTGGACAATCAGAGGGACAATCTGAGGGACAATCTAAGGGACAATCATCTGGACAATCATCTGGAAAATCAATGGACAATCATCTGGACAATCAGTGGATACTAAGCAAGAAAATCATATGTATATATATATATATATATATATATATATATTTATTTATATATATATATATATATATATATATATATATATATATATATATATATATATATATATATATATATATATATATATATATATATATATGAATACAGCTTGCCAATGAAAGGCCACCGTTGTCTATGGTACGAGTCTCGTCTGCTATTTCCGAATACCGGATCATTGTGACACCCTCAACCTCTAAAACATTTTTGTCATGATCCGGTTTCTACCCCGCCCCGCCCTCTTCCACTTCCTGTTTCTCCGCACACCCTCCCGACGCCATCATCCAACCACCCAACGCCAACATCGCCGCTATTCGATACTCACCATATCTTACATGCCTGGCGATGTTTCTCTGTGACAATATCGTGTTTACACACGCAAGACCTCCCACACTTCTTCCCCATCCAACCACACAAGTGGCGGAGTTTTGTTGTTTTTTCTGGGAAAAAAAAATCATTCTCTTTACTACTTTAGCGTCGTGTTTCCTAGCAACAGAGAAATGCTGCACCGGAAATGGTTGCCCTGTATCCAACGTCTGTGTAATTTTTTTTTCTCTCCTGACCTTCACCTTGACCTGCGAGTCATGCTACTGCTTACCAAATATTAGATTTGGACATCCTGCATTTTTTGGGTTGTGGGGGTGGGTGGAGAAATAATATTTATAGGCAGGCGTGTAATGAGTGAGAGATCACTTATCTTTTTTACGCGAAACTCATGAACTAGGCGCCATATCTAGAGAGATACACGCAACGGTTGTTAAAATTTAAGTGCCCGCGTAAAATAAGGGTTAAGGAGATAGTTATCAATGATAAATTTAAACTACCTTGATTTTATATTGGTAATGTATGATGATGGTTTCAGATATTGCAGACACACAAAGTATACTCAGACCTGATAGGGTATTCGTAAGATGATTAATTAAGTTTGTTTTAATATAAATACGAATAGGTTACATTTTTAACAGTATGTTTATTTTTTTCTTTCCATTATTTTCTACTTATGCACGGTATTGTTTGTTAGCTGAATTAACTCAGGAATATACATAGTATTTTAGTTATAAAAAGAATGCTTGTAAGACCAGCCTGGTAGATACACAAATGAGTTTTCTTTACTCTCCTAAACCTCAGTTAAACCTGACTTTGTGTTTCTTCTACTCTCAAACATATTGGTCAAACCTGACTTTGGCCTCTAGTCTCAGCATGTCAGTCAAACCTGACTTGATTTTTCTCTACCCCTCCCCTTCGATAAAAGAGCTGTAATCATGACTTTTTTGTTTCCTCTACACTCCACACCCTTCAAAAATAACATTTAAACCTGACTTGATTTTTCTCAATCAATCTGTATCTCTCGCCTTCCAAAAAAAGTCAGTTAATCCTGACATTTTTTTTCTTCGACAACCCACCCTCACCCTCCAAAAATGTCAATAAATCCTGAATTTCGTTTTGCTCTACAGAATACCAGTCAAATCGGATTTTTAAAAAAAATCTCTTTAATCCACAAAATATCATTAAATCCTGACTTTTGTATCTCTCTCCCCAAAATGTCAGTAAATTGTGACTTTCTGTCCACAGAATGTCAATAAAACCTGACTATTATCTCCCCCAAAGTATCAATAAAACCTGACTTTCTTATCTCCCCCAAAATATCAGTAAAACCTGACTTTCGTTTCTCTCCGCAGAATGTCAGGACGTGTTTGAACAGGGAGGGATGAAGTTCATGGGAGACTACTACATCATGATCAAACCAGCGGGGGTAACTCATGCGTTCAAAGCCCTGTGTAAGATGGTGAATAATTCAGGTAAAACTTTGCATTAAACTTTACTCAGATACTGTTTAAATAAGGAAGTAACAAAATTAAAGGCAGCATGACTTGATAAATTTAAAAGAACAAATTATTTCAATATAATTCTAGAAATAATTCACAATTTGCTTGTTGTTCCACTACAACTTAATCATTTTTACACATTAGCTTTTTATAAAAAAAAATTATATTAAGCTAAACATTATCTGATACATCACTTTCGAAAATACGGGCCGTTCTTAAATACCAGCTCTTGTTTGACGAGTAATATTTTGTATTTACTATTTGCGCTAATAAATTTGTGTCTTGTATTTGTAATTGATTTTTTTTATCCCTGCGCCCTTATGCTACAGATATTGTTAGATTCTGTCTGTTTATTTTAGCTTGGGTGAAAACAATGTTTTTAAGGACATTTTTAACTTTTTTTTTTAAACTTCTGTTTATTTCTGTTATATTTCTGATACTTTAAAAAAATATTTTAGATGTATTTTCTAAAACTTTGGCTTTGTGCGTGTGATCGTGTCTAAAGTACACCAAAATCAGCAGACCTGACACTATAGCACTTACCCAAACTCTTGTTTATATCAGCCTGAGTACCTGGTTACGTGACAATAGGATGAGGGCTTACACAGATGGTGAAATTTTAGAATTATAGTATAGAGAATGCTGAAAAGGCTCTCTCTCTGGGCGCGGACGCCTGTGAAAAGCGTGTTTTTCGGTGGTGATTCTAATTACATTACCAATGTGTTTTCTTAGAACCATAAAAGTAAACACCACTTGCCGTACATTTATTTGCATCGCATTGTTTTATTGTAAGTTATGGAGTAGAATCTATTTATGTGACCTAAATAAAGGCTCTCTTTGGGCGCGGACGCCTAAATAAGCGTGTTGTTTGGTGGTGATTCTAATGTTGTGGCTGTGGTTGTGTTGTGGTTGTGTTGTGGTTGTGTTGTGGTTGTGTTGTGTTGTGGTTGTGTTGTGGTTGTGTTTTGTTTGTGTTGTGGTTGCGTTGTGGTTGTGTTGTGGTTGTGTTGTGGTTGTGTTTTGTTTGTGTTGTGGTTGCGATGTGGTTGCGATGTGGTTGTGTTGTGGTTGTTTTGTGGTTGTGTTGTGGTTGTGTTGTGGTTGTGTTGTGGTTGTGTTGTGGTTGTGTTGTGGTTGTGTTGTTGTTGTGTTGTGGTTGTGTTGTGGTTGTGTTTTGTTTGTGTTGTGGTTGCGTTGTGGTTGTGTTGTGGTTGCGATGTGGTTGTGTTGTGGTTGTGGTTGTGTTGTGTTTGTTTTTGTGCTGTGTTTTTGTTTTTGTTCTGTTCCAAAGTTGTACATTTAAAAAGATTTACCGTGGCGGAGCACGGGATGCAGCTAGTATATATATATATATATGTGTGTATATATATATATATATATATATATATATATATATATATATATATATATATATATATATATATATAATACATATGCATATTTGTATGTAACCAAGCATATATAAAATTAACTATCTATATATATAATTCTCTTCTTCGAGCCGTTAGAAAACAAGCTGCAAGCGCGCTCCCTAACATCCCCACCCCTACATGATCTTAGTGAGCTGTGGTTCACGCTATGTTTACCTTCGTGGAGTTGGATGTAGTGACGGCTATTAGGGGCAGATAATTTAGTTTGAAACGATTTTAAACGTGGGGGGGGGGGGGGAGGAAGGGGGGGGGGGTTATGGTCCTTAACGAGCTACTTATAGTGTTTTAAAGAAATATTTTCAGTGTCAGCGTTGGTACTGTCGAATTCACAAATTATGAATTACTGAAAAGTAGAAAAAACAACAACTAATATATAATTCTCTTCTTCGAGCCGTTAGAAAACAAGCTGCAAGCGCGCTCCCTAACATCCCCACCCCTACATGATCTTAGTGAGCTGTGGTTCACGCTATGTTTACCTTCGTGGAGTTGGATGTAGTGACGGCTATTAGGGGCAGATAATTTAGTTTGAAACGATTTTAAACGTGGGGGGGGGGGGGGGGGGGGGAGGAAGGGGGGGGGGGGGGTTATGGTCCTTAACGAGCTACTTATAGTGTTTTAAAGAAATATTTTCAGTGTCAGCGTTGGTACTGTCGAATTCACAAATTATGAATTACTGAAAAGTAGAAAAAACAACAACTAAATAGCGGCGTATGTTATGCCGCGGGCCGGCTCGTTATTCTTAATGCGAATTTTAGTCTATAGTGTTCTTAACAATCCGTTTCTAATAAAACGGTTGTGTCTCCTGATTTAATAAGCCACCAGCAGTTACCGCCCCGTCGACTAACTCGAGTGGGGCCCCGCGGTGAATGTGAGTACATTATGACCGTCAGGAGATGAGACGCGATGCTGGCTCTCCATTCCTGATGACCCGTCGAGTGGTCTTTTAACTTTAAAATTAGAACAATAAAGCTTTGGCGCCAAAAAAATTTTAACAAGAATTGGTCGTCTGCAAGTTGCAAGACTCCCGCTTTATGTTAAGAAATGTTAGTTTTTCTTAATACATTAACTGAAATACAACAGGTTTTTCAAAGTATTAAAAGTTCACTTAAGATAATTATATATTTTTAATAAACATTTACCCAAATTTAAAAGACCTTTATTTTCGTGTAAAAAATACTTACTTTTAGTTGTAATTACAAAAATGCAAAATGAGAATGCGTTAAAATTAAGAGATGAATGAAACCGGTGATAACAAATCCATCACGTCTTGGCTGGGGCGAATCCTGGACTGTACCGCAAACAATCCATCTGTATTCTTTGCCTTAACCAGTCAATCCCACCAATACATCTTCTGTAGTTTTTGTATTGATTTATTTTTGCTTCATACAAGACAACTGTTTGGTGAAGTGACATAATTTTCAATTAAAAAAATAATCATGTAGAATTACAAATTATTACAATTATTTGTAAAAATCTAAAATATTTGTTTTTAGATTTTAATTATATTACACACATAATTAATAAGGTCGATTTAAAAACCCGCTTTTTTACGATGTATCACATTCCCATCTGTCATATACCATGTTCCCTAACTAATACTCAATAAACATCCAACACTTTCTTGTAACTGGCCATTCAGAGTTATTTCCCTGTCAGCCAACCCTCTATATGAGATATCCAGCTGGAATTTTGATAGCTACAGGTTGTTTTATTTTATTTATTTAAATGCTGACTCTTCCTGTTCCGACACATAGAAGCTAATTTTTTTAAGGGAGGGGGGGGGGGGGGGGGGGGGGCTTTTAGTGAAACACATTTTATTACAAGTTATAAAATAAATGCTTTTTTTAAACAAATTATATTAACTTTAAAATACTTCAAACAATATAATATTTTATTTTTTTGGGGACAATTTATATATTTTTAGCGAAATGTGGCGTTAAATTTAACATTGTTTTGGTACACAGTAGAATGAAAATAATGAAAAAACCTTGACAATAAATTACTTTTCCGATAACATTATTGGGGAAAACAGCAATTTACTCAATTTGCAAAAAAAAATCGATGCCAATCTTCTCTAGATATCAAAATCACCAAAACATAGATAAAAAAAAGTGATTTTAGAGTAAAAAAATCTAAATTTTTCAAGAAAGTTGGCTAAGGTCCTCCCTAACAATTAATAAAAGGACTAGTTTCATTCATCTCTTAATTTTAACGCATTCTCATTTTGCATTTTTGTAATTACAACTAAAAGTAAGTATTTTTTACACGAAAATAAAGGTCTTTTAAATTTGGGTAAATGTTTATTAAAAATATATAATTATCTTAAGTGAACTTTTAATACTTTGAAAAACCTGTTGTATTTCAGTTAATGTATTAAGAAAAACTAACATTTCTTAACATAAAGCGGGAGTCTTGCAACTTGCAGACGACCAATTCTTGTTAAAATTTTTTTGGCGCCAAAGCTTTATTGTTCTAATTTTAAAGTTAAAAGACCACTCGACGGGTCATCAGGAATGGAGAGCCAGCATCGCGTCTCATCTCCTGACGGTCATAATGTACTCACATTCACCGCGGGGCCCCACTCGAGTTAGTCGACGGGGCGGTAACTGCTGGTGGCTTATTAAATCAGGAGACACAACCGTTTTATTAGAAACGGATTGTTAAGAACACTATAGACTAAAATTCGCATTAAGAATAACGAGCCGGCCCGCGGCATAACATACGCCGCTATTTAGTTGTTGTTTTTTCTACTTTTCAGTAATTCATAATTTGTGAATTCGACAGTACCAACGCTGACACTGAAAATATTTCTTTAAAACACTATAAGTAGCTCGTTAAGGACCATAACCCCCCCCCCCCCTTCCTCCCCCCCCCCCCCACGTTTAAAATCGTTTCAAACTAAATTATCTGCCCCTAATAGCCGTCACTACATCCAACTCCACGAAGGTAAACATAGCGTGAACCACAGCTCACTAAGATCATGTAGGGGTGGGGATGTTAGGGAGCGCGCTTGCAGCTTGTTTTCTAACGGCTCGAAGAAGAGAATTATATATTAGTTGTTGTTTTTTCTACTTTTCAGTAATTCATAATTTGTGAATTCGACAGTACCAACGCTGACACTGAAAATATTTCTTTAAAACACTATAAGTAGCTCGTTAAGGACCATAACCCCCCCCCCCCCCCTTCCTCCCCCCCCCCCCACGTTTAAAATCGTTTCAAACTAAATTATCTGCCCCTAATAGCCGTCACTACATCCAACTCCACGAAGGTAAACATAGCGTGAACCACAGCTCACTAAGATCATGTAGGGGTGGGGATGTTAGGGAGCGCGCTTGCAGCTTGTTTTCTAACGGCTCGAAGAAGAGAATTATATATATAGATAGTTAATTTTATATATGCTTGGTTACATACAAATATGCATATGTATTATATATATATATATATATATATATATATATATATATATATATATATATATATATATATATATATATATATACACACATATATATATATATATACTAGCTGCATCCCGTGCTCCGC